ATAATGATGGTTTCTCGGGTTTTGGCCTCTGGACCAAAACGGTGCTACGGGAAATGACTCCTCCAATTGGTCTGTCCCAGGAAGCCGGCGAGGGAGGGAGAAACTAGGGGAAATAAGGTATCTTCGTTCAACTACGATTATTCGAGAGCCTTGAACAGGCTACTCTATACCAAATAAGAGAATGACAGGGTCTTTGTTCCCTTCACTCAGAGGTAATAAGGAAGTTTATTACAACAAATTTTATTACATTTATGGTTGGTGTATTCAATACATTTGTGGTTAAAAGTTATTACATTTATGGTCAATTCTTATTACTTTTATGGTTGGTATTACATTTTATAGGTGATAGACTCACGCCTGTGGTGTTATGAGGGGTTGACCTGTATGCCACCAAATAATTGCGAACTTCCTTCTTCCATTCTTTTCCCTCAGCTTGAGCTATTTTCATCCTTTTTATTTGAGGAGGGACTTGTTTTGTCTTTCCTCCTCGCCGTTCGCTTGTGGCCACAATGGTGTTGCCTTCCTGTACTCTATACCGTTATCCTCCAAATACCGCTCGAACATTTCTGATCTGAACTGTGGACCATTGTCACTTCGAAGTGATTGAGTCCATGTGTGGTGAAGATTTTCTCCAAACACTCTATGATTTTCTCTGACGTTGTCAAACGCATGATTTCCACTTGATCGTAGTGTCTGCTACAGTAATCAACGATGACTAAGACAGATTATCCTGATGGTAATGGGCCTAACAAGTCGATGGCCAAATCTTGTCATAAGCCACTTGGTAATGGGGTTGACTTATATTGGCTCTGGGTTTGCGGGACTGCTTAAAAGCTCACAGCCATGACAGGTTTGGCAAAACTTCTCGGCCTCCTTGTCGATTCCAGGCCAACATACCTTTGATCGCAATCTCTGCTTCATACTGACAGTTCTGGGTGTCCTTAATGGGCAAGGCTCAGTACTCGAGGTCTCAACTTATTTGGTATGACAATCCTGGTACCTCGAAGCATTAACTCGCCAATAACACACAGTTCGTGGCTTACTGGTATGTACTGCTTGAGCTGATCACCTTTCCAGTTTCCGTCTTTTATGTGTTGACGCAATTCCACAAACTCTCTGTCCTCTGATGAGGCTTTTTCAATTTCACGTATTGTCATCCCTTGAGGAGTCGCAGGTACTGCGACAAACCTGACAAATTCATCCGACACCTTGTGCGCTAATGAAGATTCTGCTTGCTCGTTCGCATGCAGTAAGCGTGACAACGGATCAGTAATATTGTGTACGCTGTCCGGGTAGATACTAGCATTGTAGTTTGCCGGTCCCAGAAAGCTTCTGACTTCTGATGCACTCTGCGGTTCTCTTGCATCGACGATCGCCTTCACCTTGTCTTCGGCAGGGCCAGTACCATTGTCGCTTAACACCAGTCGCATGAACACCATCTGGGTCATGTGGAACCTGCACTTCTCTTCATTCAGCGTGAGATTCTTCTCTTTCAGCCTTTCCAAAAGTCGCTGTAATCTTCTGTCATTTTCTTCAGTGTTCTTCTCTTGAATAATGATATCCTCTGAGATGTTGAAGAAAAAATGGGGTGCGCCTGACTGGTTACGCCATGCAACTTAACTTGGTAATCTTTCAACTTTCCCACACCTTCAAAGATTTCTTTGTAACCAGACATGATCTTCTCTTTAGATGTCAAAGTGCAGATCTGGGTTCCAAATTTCAACACGCCTAGCTGTATGGTAGTTTCTCTTCCAAGCAGGCTGCCCCTTCACCATTAATAACGAATTAAATTCGGCTTCGGCTTCTTTCCCTTCTACTCTTGCCAGTGCTGAAAATGTTCCTAGAACGTTCAGCGGCTGTTTACTGCCATACGCATAAAGCTTCTTATCACTCTTTTTCGACACACACTTAATCTTGCCTTGCTTTAACTTTGACCACAGATTTTTGTCAATCACATTCGTGCTCGCACCCGAATCATTCAACATCGCTACTACAACTCCACTCACAGTCACATCTACTTTCTCAGGTGATGTAGCAGAATTCACAGTAAATGCATAGTCATCTTCATCTCTTTCACTTCCCACGTACCTGACTGACTTCTCCTTCTTTTTCTTTCTTTTTTTCGTCTCTTCCCGTCTAGGTTTGCGAACCAAAGTGGTCAGCTCCCCCGCACTTATGGCAAGTTTTTCCTTTCGCAGGACATTCAGAGTCTCACCCAAAATGTCCTACTTTTCCACATCTGTAGCATGCTCGCTTTACAGGCTCCTTCCCTTTGTCTTCCTGCTTGTCGCGGACCGAATTCACATCCTTTCTGCCTTCCGTATTCTCCAGCTGTGATTGAACTCGCTCGTAATTTGCTGCCTTAAAAGTAACAGCCCTGAGGTTAATTTCTCACCTTTTTCCAATAGTTTCTTCCTTAGTTCATGTCATTTACATTGCTGCACGACTTGATCATGAATCTGGTTTTCGGCTTGTTCCCCGTAATCACAGTCCTTGACCACTGACTGAATCTTGTCACGAATTGAGCCACAGTTTCGCCGTCCTGTAATTCCATGCTGCGGAACAAGCGATTTTGTGAAATAATCGTTCAAGGCCTTCACCGCTTTTTCGTAATATTTCGCCTCGCCTGTGTCGGCCAACGTCTCGACAATTTCTTGAACACCTTCGCCAGCTGAATGAAGGAGCTCTCCTCTGGATTTTATTATCCGCTTTATCCCCTTGAATGAGCAAGCCCTTGCTGTCGGCATACACCGAGAAACTTTTCAACCAACGGCCATCGCCTTCCCACGCCTGAAGGTTCACAATGTGGGTCGAAGGGTTTTACCTCGTTAAATCGTCTATCTTTGTT